TTTTGTAAAGCGTTTTTGCTCCCATTGACTGATTTTTTACTTCTGTCAAGAGAAAGCGATAGTGGCAAATTGTATTATTTAATAATATTTATTTAAGGAGTAAAAAAGTGTGAGTGAAGCATGAAGTTCTGATATTTTAATCTGCAAAAACTGTCAGTAGATTAAATTTATTTACTCCTTCACCATTTTCCCTTTTATTTCTTGTCCACTGTTCAAAAACAATGTTTTGGTAATAAGAATTATTTTAGATTGCCTTTGCTGCTTAATTATCTAATTAAATTAATTGTTTTTGACATGTAACCAAACAATGGTGATGAAAATTCCATGTGTAATAGCAAAAACAGGAAAAAAAAAGTATTGAACAATGTGCAATATTGATAGCTAAGAATATATATTGACCAGATTGTGATAGAGGTGATCAGGTCTACTAAGTTTCAGGGAAGGAAGAACAAGATCCTGGCTTGATCCTTCTAGTAAAGAATTAATTTATGGTTTTAAGATTAGTAAGAGTTACAGCTACTTAATTTGAATTCTTTGAGCCCCTGAAGCACATGGTACAAGTACCTCAGCAGATCAAAATATTCAAGAGCTGGTTTCGTCAAGTCTCAGCTAATGCAAGTATCTTTTTTGAGATATATGTGATTTGTTAAATGAATGTCTGAAAGATTTGTTTTGCTAATAATTATCTTTAATGTACTAGTTTATTCATGTTCTGAAATCTTCTTAACAGGTAAGAAGAGTACCCATACACAGTGTAGGCAGTGTGTAATAAATCAAGGTCCCCTTTCTGGAACTATAATGCATTCTTAGAAGTGCTGAGTATGTGGGCACACGCATCCTACCTTAATATGTAAAGCTGTGCTTAAATTTTAACTGTTCCACTTACCATCTTCCAAATGGATCTATAAAGTTTCAAAAATTGAGCTTACAAATATAAAAATATTGATGTTAATTTGTGATTATTGATTAGATTTAATCTGTGATTAAATGGAAACCTGTTCTAAAATAGTGGAGAAAACTATAATTGACATATCCTTTGTCTTATTTTATGTAGTCGTATATGGTCTATAAATTGTTTCTATTCTGAGTCTAGCTCTAGAAGTTTTTTTTAAAAAAAGATCAAAACAGTTAAATTGTTAATGCCTTTTAAAAACTTGCCTTTTTGTCACTGTATAAAATTTGTTTTGGCTTAAGGCCATGGGAAGTGTTACTGTGGAAACTGTTACTGTGAGGCTGGTTGGCATGGAGATAAATGTGAATTCCAGTGTGACATCACCCCCTGGGAGATCAAGAAAAGATGCACATCTCCAGATGGCAAAATCTGCAGCAACAGAGGTGTGTCACTCGCATGGTCCTTCTATGCATATTTATCTAACTTGCTTTTGTTTTGCTCTATGCATTTGCTACAGTAGGACACTGAGTTTGCTGATAGTTTCTGGTTTGTTCTCACCTATTTCAGGTCTGAATATACGTTTTCAAGTGAATGGGCAGATACTTGTGTTTAGGTATAAACTTAAAGAAATCCACTCCCATTTCTTGATTAAGCAAACCTAAGTTGGTCTCATCTTTTATTCTTGTGGTAAAACTGAGCAAGTAGTTTTTTACTGTTAGTAAAAAACACCTGTGAAGCGTTCTTTAACAATGGTGAGGATGGTAGACTACACACAATATTTCTAAATACATGGTGTTTTATTTGCACAGAGTTCTGGACTATGAATTTTACCATATACTTCTTTTTAATTTTGCCATTTTGGGAAAAAAAAGAGGGCAGAAAATAAGGTTGTTTATCCCTGTGTTTGGCTTCACTAAACAAAGAGTTAAAAAAATATGAGGGATTTTTTTGGCAATAGTCCAGAATTATGACTGTAGAACATAAGCAAAAGTCACACAGATACCTCTCTTAAAAACATCTGTGCTGACAAAACGTGCTGTACTGCAAACAAACATCAAACTATTCTGAGAGAATTTATAAAATTCTCCACTCATTATTATGAGGAAATTGAAAGATTAGCTCAAGTACAGAGATCATATAGGCCCGTTTAGTCTCGGGACTTTAGCATAAAATTTTTGTCTAGTTCTGGAAATAATAAAGGAGTTTCAAATCAGATACTTTCTTTGCACTGAGAAAGTAATTTCTTGTCAAAGAATTTGTCAAAACAAGTTTTTGTTAAGATTTGAAATTTTAATGTGTGACTATTTTTTTAAACTGGCATTACAATAATTGGAGGAATTGAGTGAGTAGTATGGCTGGTATTCTGAGTAGCTGCAAGCTCATATATAGTGATACATTTGTGGGATACTTCTATATCTTTAGCTTTTCCTGTATTTGTGATTTTATATTCATAAAACATTGGTAAGCTCCCTACAACATGAAGTTGTTTTTGAATACAATATTTCTGCTCCATTTAGTCCTACTTACCCAGGGTTTAGTGTTTATACATCTTGTAGTATAAGCTCAGTTCATCTTGTCAATCCTGAACCTTCTAAAATCAAATATTGGAGTTAACCTTACTGTCTACCCTCCTTCAGTGCTAAGTTGGATAAATTGTCAGTATCTTTTCCCCCACAACCATCTAAGTCAGCCAGACGGTTTTTTGTTTGTTGGTTGGTTTGGGATTTTTCCTTCTTCAGTAATGTCACTGAATTGTGAACGTTTAAAAAAATTAGGTGCAAATTTCCTGAGGGCTGTCTCAGTAGCTTTCGCTTTCCTTCTTCATTTAAGTGTCATGCATACACATTTGTGTAGACCTTATCTTTTTAGAGAAAGTGCTCAAATCTATATGTACTATTGTCCTCAAATGAATTATATTGTTTAGAGTAATCTGAACAGGATGACAAAGGTGTTGGCAGAGCAGCAAAAAGTAGAGCTCCTTTGCAGGAAATGAGCTGCATGCATCACTTAGGTCGGGCTGCTTCTGAGGACCTGTTGGCATCTCAGAAAAAGTAGTGAGTCTGTGGTCCTGAAGCATATTTGTGTCTCTGAATAAGGAAACTGGGTTTTTTTGTTGTTGACGTTGTTCTGATTTTCCAGAGTAAGTGCTCTCAGTATATTAGTAGGATTGTGCCAAATTTGTATTTCTGTCATATTCCACATTTCTTCTTATTGTAAACAACTGGGTGTGGCCCTGAATATCGACTTAGGAAAAGTGGATAAATATCCTTTTCAGGTAGATCTATACTGCTATTCTTCTTAGGTAAAGAATGACCTCCTAGGCATTTTCAGCTGGATTAGAATTTGGATTCCCTTGCAGTCTAAATGTTTATGCTTTAACAACCATTAATTATCTATTGTGCCCAAGCCCAACTCATTTAAACAGAATTGATTTTTATTGTCATTACTGTCAGGGCAAATTACTATTGATGTCAAAGATTTACGACTGTTCTGTGCACTACATTTTTCTGTTGATTCCTAACAAGGCTCAGACAGCAAAAAGAGACTTGAACAGAAAGCCAATATTTTTTACAAAGTATTGCTAGTAACTAATCATAGAAGGTTTCAAATCATAGAAGATGAAAACACACTCATGATTAACACTTGCAGCTTTGAAACTGCATTCCTGTGAGAGCTGAAAATTCACAAGTGTTAATTCCTACAATCAAACTACTATTACCTTAAATTGCTGTTAATCTTCTATCTCTGTGTCTTTTTTTTCCCTCATTCTTAGGTACATGTGTATGTGGGGAATGCACATGCCATGATGTAGACCCAACTGGTGACTGGGGAGATATTCATGGAGATACCTGTGAGTGTGATGAAAGGAACTGCAAGGCAGTGTATGATAGATATTCTGATGACTTCTGTTCAGGTAAGAATCATATATAATAGGGACTTACGTGTAGTTTTATAAAAAGAGCATGCAACTGGTCTGATCTCCCTCTTCCCTAGTGCTCCAGTTCTCATTTTTCTGTCTTAAAAAATATACCAAGCTTTACCTGTTTTTTTCTTGTGTTTTCGGGGGGAAAGGAGGAGAGATTTCAGAGTGGATTTTTTAAATTAAAAGACATGATTCTGTAATTATTTTCTATGCCATTTAACAAAATTCTGTAAATATTAAATACTTATAGGTGCCCATCTCTCTTCTAATACTCTTGCATTCAGTATAACCTAACATAAATTCGATAATGGTTGAAACATTAAAATATACAAATATCCTTTCTTGCGGAAATTTGAATTTGAAAGCTTGTTAGGTCAAACTGTATTTGTTATTTTGTGTTATATGGTGGAGAGAGAATAATGAAGAGGAAGAAAATGAAGGAAAAGTAAATAAAGAAGGTAAAAAAAACCAGTGCCCTGAGAATACAAAATGACATGAGAACAAGTACAGCATCAATACTTGATGAATGTGTGGCCCAGCTGCACACCACTGACTGTATATCTTAGACACATTCAGCTTCCCTTTTATTCTACTTATGCTTCAGAGGATTCTGTTCAAGTCATTTAACTCCATCCATCCATCCATCCATCCATCCATCCATCCATCCATCCATCCATCCATCCATCCATCCAGGCTTTTCAGTGTATTTAGATGGATGCTCCATGTATCAACTAACAAAAGCTGAGATTCTGAGTTAGACCTTGCATACAGTTTTGTAGAGTTACTAATAAAGACTCTAATACCAGGTAGGAGAGAAGTGCTTTGATCAGTACGCACCATGAAATTTTTATACTCAGGAACTCTGCAAAAACAAATGAGTGATTTCAAAGGGACTTCACATATTAGAGATTGCCTGCTCAAATGCATCCTGTAAAAATCTCATCTGGCCTAATTAATAATAGGAAGAATGCAGTCCATCAAGGAGACTAACGATGTGGTATATTCACCTCCTATTACAAGAATGAGGGATCCCTCATTGAAAGATCATAGGAGTTATCTGTAACAGAGAAAACAAGCTAAAACCAACATGATATATAAAATTTTCAGCTTTTTCTTTTACTGTTGAAAAAGTGGAAGTTTTTTCAACTGTTGTGTTAGGTTTTTTTAAATAAATAGTGATGAATTACTAGCTAATAAAAAAGGAGGGGGGGGAAGAAAGAAGCTAATCTGAAAACCTTCAGTGAATTAATTCACTAGTTACTGCTTTAACCCCTTGCAAATGCTTTATAGGTTTATTTAATGAAGGATCTGGAAGGATGCAGGACTGCAGTCATGAGAGTAGCAGGAAGACTCACTTTGGGATGTTGTCAGTTTTTGAATATATCATTGTGTTGCTGTCAGTGCTTTCAGCAGTCTGGGACTGATGAAAATATCAGCATCAGCTAAGGAATACAAAGCTACAAACCAACCTGATAAATGTGTTCTGTAGTTAAGGATGAACACAAGGGCTTCAAACCTAAATAGATTGAAGCAAACCTGTGGCATCTCCAGCTAATACTGCATAACTGAAACACTGATACTTGAACTCCCCTTTTCTGGACATTGTTGCCACTGCAGCTGCTGCTGCCCAGAATGGTAATGGTTGTAAGAAAGCACGGGGTAAGTAAAACAATTGCAAATCAGTTGGGGGAAAGATATTGCCATTTGACACTGGATTAAGGACTGATACAGTGTTCTTTATACTGACATAACTGTAAATGAACAAAACTCAGAAGAGATACGAAATGAGGGACTCATATGGCTCATATAACTAAAACTCATTATGAAGTATAGCTTCACAAATTTAGTGCTAATTATTTTTATCCATTCCACTATATTTTAGAAAAGCTTAATTTAGCCTTAGCTGGCCATCCAAATATACATTGTGCACAAAAATTCATTTTCACATGAAGCAGTGTGAACAATGTCTTCCAGTCCTGCTGCTTAGTCCTTTTTCAGAAATAGATAAGAGCATAAGTATTAATTTTGGGTTATTGTGGTAGACAGGCAGAATCTGCAATTAAATCAAAGATTTAATAGTAAAATTGCAGTAGGACAACTTACTTGCTGCACAAAGTGTGCATACATTGTGTGTGTCTGCAAAATATCCTCATTTTTCTCACAATTGGTAACCAATTATGAGAAATTAAATTGGTTTGGGATGAATCCAAGAGGGATTAGTCAGATTAGGGAAAATAATCCGTCTCTTTTAAAATCTTCATGAAACAGAGATTACATGAAATTTTCTTGTCTTGCTCTGCCTATCTAATAGGTATAGACAGGAAATGACATTGTCCTGAGCAGCATATTGAAATGATAGAAAATCAGGTTTTCATGTAAAGAGCTTTACTGTAACTGAATGAAATGCTATGTTTATTTCACAAACTATGAATGACAGGAATTGACAGCCCTGCTGTGAGGATTTAACATCACACAAGAGCAGCTTCCTCCAGAAGTTTCATATGACTTGAGGAGACTGTCAATTCACAGTACATCACATTGGCAACTAGAGTCCTTTTTTTAACACCTGAAGTGCTATTCAGTATGTTAATGAATTATTTTCTTTCAGAAGCATTCTCAACAATAAAGTTATTCTCTTCGTTTAAAGAGATAATAGCTTTCATGACTTGACACCAAAAGAAAAAAGGCTTCCACAAAGAAACTCATACATTCACACATCTCATTAGCTCCTTTGCTGTGACTCTAGCAAAGAAACTATTGTATGAAAGAACATAATCCTCTCATAAGTATCTATCTGGATTAGGGAACATAGTTCCAATTCGCAACCTGTCTGCAGGTACACGTGAAAGCAAAGGACAGAATCATGGAATCACAGAATAGTTTGTGTTGAAAGGAACCTTAAAAATCATCCAGTTCCAACTCTAAGCCACGGGCAGGGACACCTTCCACTAGACCAAGTTGCTCAAAGCCCCATCCAGCCTTACTTCGAACCCTTTCAGGGATAGGTCATCCACAGCTTCTCTGGTCAACCTGTTCCTTACTACCCAGCCAGAAAAGGATTTTTTCCTAATATCTTATCTAAACCTACCCTCAAAACAAGAGGAAGACTTCAGTGCTTTTCAAGGAAAACAATTACTAATGTAAAGAAACATTATTCTTGTTACATTCAGACATATTCTGGGAATTACTCTGATGACTCACAGGGTGCTTGCTTCCTCCCATTTTCTCCTTTTGAACTGATAAATGGGTACTAACCTTTCTTAAAATGCAAATATGGTTAGAAAGAAACATAAAGTCTGTGTTGCTATGTTTTCATGAAGAACATGGATAGAGAAGTGGACATTGAAGCAATGTTTTGGTCCTATGATCAATTAATGATGACTATATGAAAATTATGAGAGTTCTAACTTGCTGTCAGAGGTCATGAAAATAAATATTTGATTTTGTGACAGGGAATGTTTTTTTGCTGATTCTAAAACTTTCCTCCATGTTCAAGGAGTATTCTGTATTGCCAGAATCTCACCGCTTTATGCAAAGAGCGTAAAGAGGGAGAAGAGCAATTATCTGTTTTTTTTTTCTTGGTCTGGATATATTTGCATTTATAGAGGAAATAGACATGCTCAAGAAGAGTCAGGTTAGCCAATGAGATACCAAAAATCATATCCAACTTTCCTATTGAAAAGAGAATTATGTTCAATATTTTATTATTTATACATCGGTTTTTTTATTCAAGGTCATGGACAGTGTAATTGTGGAAGATGTGACTGTAAAGAAGGATGGACTGGGAAAAAGTGTGAGCATCCACGTTCTTGTCCTTTGTCAGTTGAGGAAAGTGCTAAGAAATGCCAAGGAAATTCTAATTTACTTTGCTCTGGAAGAGGTAAGAACATTTCTGAAAGAATTTTCATGCCCTTTAATTGTACTTGCATTAAAAGAATTTTAGTGATGTCCAGCATTACTAGTACTGAAAAATATGTACCTTCTTGGCTTACTGTGCATGAATCCCACATGCATAACTTGTAAGTTAGGAGAAGGGAGAAGAATCACAGAAGTCACCTATTTTGTCTGTCATGTTCTGATTTGTGTTTTATTTTACATATCTCAACATTTGTTTTGGAGGTTTTCAAGGATGGTTTGAAAACTGCTGTAGTTAAGTCTTTACTAAAGACACATTAAAAATATGAATGTATTCTATGCACGCTTCGCTACAAAAGTAGCATGACATTTTCAGCCTGTGTAAAATGTTGTGGCACCATTGTGATAAGGACTGGATTTACTGTGCCTAAGAAACTGCATTATTGAGCATAAGACTGACTCTATAAAATGCAGCTCTGCTTCAGCGCAGTTTGCTAGTTGGTCACTGGCTTTTTATTTGTGAAATGTGACACATTTCTTTGCCACACTGTAACCTTTTCCAAAGTTTGACTGAAAAGGTATTTTAAGTCATACATACACTTAAAATACACATGGCAAGCAAAAGGAAATTTTTCTCCAAAGGAAGTGGACTTGCTAATTTTCATCTGTCCTGCAGTGAAATGTGGTTTTATGCAGAGAAAAAAAAGTAAATATGAGAGAGTATATTGCTAGAACTGTTAATTGAAGTTGTTATGAATCCTGACCCATTAAGTATTTGCTGGGAAAGGTCTAAAGCTACTCTTGATTTATTGCATTTGACCCTAAAAGTCAGTTCATTTGCAATTTCTTCTTTCACTTATACATCAACAAAAACTGTAGGTTGTCCACCCAGGTTAGCTCTGTTGGTAATTGTGCTTTTCTGCCCCTGTAAATGTGTAGCAAGTCATAACTTAATAAATGCAGCATTATCAGTATCTTAAAAGAACTGTGTATTATCAACATTGTTGCTTTCTGGTTGTTTTTTTGTTGGTTTGGTTTTTGTGGGTTTTTTGGGTTTTATTTCTTAATTAAGCTACAAGTTTTCAGTGAGACCTGTCTTTTCTTGTTAAAAATTTTCAACAGAATTTTTGGCTATGAGTTAGGTGAAAAATGAGCATCTGTAGAGAATTAACTGCATTTTATTGTTCATAATTGTAAGGATGACAACTAAGAGAAAGGAGGGTTGAATTTTGATTTATTTTATTTTAATCTTTTTAATACTGGCTCATTCTGTTGTCATTTGATGCTGAATGTCTCTTCTTTCATCTACTTCAATAGAAGTTGTTATGTTGAGAATCTGAAGTCATAAAAAGAAGTTTAATTAGAATAAAAATGCAGCCAGGTTATTGAGCATATATGTTCTATTTTATATTTAAAATATTTATATTTTAAATTTTTTTTAAATTAAATATAATTAGAAGAGTAATTTTAAAGTTTCAATATTAATGTCAATAATTCTATCCTTTTGACTTGCTGAAAAACACTTATGAATGCTGGCAGTGTTCTTCCGTTAAGATACTAGCAGTGAAATTCAGGTGAATTCTCTTTACTGAGTGATCTGTCAGTCAAAATTTTCTAAAAAAGTACAAGTGGCATCTGTTGGAACAAAAGGTGGCTTAATTGATAGTGGCTTTCACTGAACTTTGACTTCCAAACACAAAGAGATCACCAAGGTTTTTGAGGAGTGCCAAAGGTACAGAAGTGGATTTAGGACATAGCATGATAGACAGCTGCTGCAATGAAGGAATG